ACTATCAAATTACTATTCCAATGGTAATGCAATTGATTAGAATTATAAAGAGAAAAAAATGTATAAAAACATATTATAAAGTATGTATCTAACACAAATTTAGTGTGTTAATTTGATATTAGACGGCTATCGAATATTTTATTAAAAAAAGAATAAGTTTTTACTTATGAATTGGCAGCACACATGTCAGCAGTTTTAATGACGTTGTGCAATAGCGGAAGCCAAGATATTATTGTCATGTCAAATTTTCACTTAGTTCATGTACTCTTTTTTCATAAAATATCATTTTGTTATTACGACCGGCTGTCACGAGGCTTTTCGTATTATTGAACATAATATTAAAAAAGTAACGAGCGGGTAGTTTTTACTCATACATTTTCGACACGAGGATGCTATATTTAATTTTTTTTGTTAAATAATAAGATAGCTGGAAATTATAGAAAAATTAACAATTTACTTCTATGCCATCTAGTATCCAAATTGATATTTTAAAAGTACCATTTTCCAAATAAGTAAAAATGTTTTTTAACGTAACTGTATAAACAATTTAGACGCCTATAGGATGACATTTTAAAAGGAGAATGATATTTTCAAAAGACTTTAGGACTATTTAAATGATTTTATAACAGTGACAAGTATGATTAATTCTCAATAAACATAAATAAATGTGTTGAGAATCAATTATTTCGAAACAATGGTATCATTATGGATGGGATTAAAGAGGTTTAGATATCTTAAGACAAAGATAAATATACATTTGTTACATATACAAGGTATACTCTGATGTTAATTATACATTTTAGGTATATTTATATATCTCATTTTCAAAAAAAAATTTAACCTTGAAATAGAAAGTATTGCAATGTCAGTAGATATAGTTAAGATAATAAATGACAATACTAAAAAAATTTTACTTCTTTAACTTAAGGCTCTCTGTGGTGAGTAATCTAGTTTTAAATTGTACTGAATCAATGAATTAAATTAAGGATATATTAAAAAACTTAACAAATCGGGACAGAATAAAGTCTTTCTTAAACTTTTAAAAAGATGAATTGTTAAACATAAGTATAATTTTAAGATATTTTCTATGATATAAAAAAATATAAGTAATTATTTTTATATAATTTTTAAATATTTTACTGAATTTTTTTAATTTTCAAATTTATATTAAGTATATAGATATTTTTATTAAGCTATTAACATATAATTTATGATTTATGTTTTAAGAAAAATCATAAAAGTAATATTTTTCAGAATGTTCATGCGGAGGTTTTTTGTATACTGCTCTAACATCATATTAAATACTTCTGATCAATATCTTATATTAAAATAAATCTAAATTTACATCTATTTATAACTAATACATTTTATTCAAATTATTTTTTTATTAACCATGAAATTATGAAGTTGACTTTTTTCATTTCAATTACCTTATTATTTTGATTTTTAAACTTCAATAAAGTCAAATATCTAACTGCATACAATGAAAAAATCTATATTGAATCGACTAAGAAGTGGGCGTGTTTTTTGAATTTGATATTTCAAAAAAAAAAAACGATGATGGAAAGATATTTTGATTCTGCAATAGTCTCCACACAGTAAGACACATGAGCTTATTTAGTATCGTTTTGTATTTGATTAATGAGTAGCATTTTGATACAATTGTACGTAAATTTATTGTTTATATTATCTCATTCAGGAGGAGTTTTTTGAATTTGTGTAATTTATATCATATTGTATCTATTTACAATACTTTATTGTGGCAATTCAGTGTGTTTCCCTCAGATTTTAATGTGTTAATAATAATAATAATATAAACTATACATTTTTCAAAGTATTGACAAATTATTGAATAAAAAAAGTATGTATACTCATCATAAACTATTGAATAAAAGGCTACACTATTAAATGAAAAATAAACACTCGAAGTCGACATTGCGCAGAGATAACGTCAATCAAATATTATGAATTGTGTAAAAGAATGTTTTGAATAGAATAAAAGTTTTATTTGTTGGTAATACAAATCAAACACAAATAGACGTTCCAAAATCGTTGATAGGTTGTTGAACGTTAAATTTCCTCGTTTAGACTGCCTTTTGAATTTGTCAAAAACAAGCAAGTATCTTTAAAATGTAAAAACTAAATAATCTATTAACAAATAAACTAATGTTTGTAAAACCAATGACAAGGTTATCGTTCTTATTATTTTTATATTTATTAAAACTCTACTAACCTGTGATAACTACAATTATTAATTTATAATTGTAATAAAAATGATCATAATCTAAATATTTAACTTATTTAAAGTATTTTAACAATATCATTAAATATAATAGGTATAAAATTTATTAAAGACTAAACATCTTTGGGTAAATACTAAATACGTAAATATATAATAATAAAAAATGTATTACTATTAAAAATTTAACTTTTAAGTTATCTTATTTGGTTTAACTATGAAATACATAACGTAGTTTATTTAATAATTGTTTAATTAAAATTCTTTTTAGTAATGATAAGATAATCTCTGTAAAATTGGGGCGTAGTACGTGCTGTAGCGCGTTTTCGTGTCAAGACGTATTGTTTTGTTGTGATTGCGTGTTAGTACTTAACGCCGAAGTCATTGTGGACCTCCCACATAATCGAAAACGTTTTACGGTTACTTTAACGGTCTAGGGTCAGGTTAGTCAAACAATCGGAATACGAGACGAGCCGTAAACTAGCCACAAATGGTATTTTGTTACTTAGTAAATAAACGATTAAAGCATTTTAATGATGAGCCAAAGGGAAATTGAGTAGTGAAGAAACCCGAAGGAAAAACCTCGTCCGTAACAAAAGCACGACGACGGTCTACAATTAACCTAAAAACGTTAATGCTAAAGATTTTAAAAGCTCTACAAGATGCCATAACTCTGAATAGTCGTAAAGTTCGGATCCGCTGACGACAACGCGTTTCGAAGACCCAGCAAATAAATTTATCGTCCAATCTATTTAAAATACTCTTCGACGCCATATAAACTATCTATATACCTTCCATTTGCCTGCGTACAGAAAAAAAAATAACCAGACTGAGAAACTAATTTTACTCGCGTATAAATGTATTAGTCTCGGAATAAGTAACTTCCTTGATTGTTACAAACACACAAAAAGTAATAAAATGTATACATTACCGACTAATTTGAATTTGAAACTGTACAGATCAAAGCTAAATACAAAACTTGCAGATAAAACTTGTGAATAAATCTACATTTTTCTTAATAAATTAAAGATTTCTCAGAAAAAGAAAAAGTTCGTACGTTCATTACTTTTTGAAAAAAATTAAATGACTTATTGTTTGGTCTTACCGTTATTGTTTTATTTTTTTATTTTTTTTGGCACACCGGCGGCATTGAATTCGATCTACAGAGTGGTAGAAAAAACTCACAGCTCATAAAAACTGTATAACTTACCATGAGTAATAATTTGACTGTTGTTAAATCGTATAAAGCGTATGAGCTCGTACAAGTGTGTGGTTAAACCGATTTTTTAGAGTACTGCAGACTTGTTAAGTTTGACAATATATTGATGTTATTTGGTTTTTATTTTTATTTAACAGACTGTATGTACGTGTATAAAATGTGTTTAATTAAAACTTATAAAAATGTATTTGTGGTAATAACGGAGTAATAACGTAGGTCTGATGAGTAACGGCGACTTAAATAAAATTAATGTTTTATTCAAAGGCTTGTTAGAGCGCAGTCTATTAAGTCAATGCACGGTTTTTACGGTACGCAGGGTGGCGTCATTAAAATGGAAAATTATATTATATGATGAATAACTGATGCAATCAATTGAATTGTAAGTTGAACGATTCTTTTTTCTCCACCGTGACAATTATTACAGGTGGCCTACAGTATCTGTATTTACTTTTAACAAAAATTAATTGTTGTTGTTAGGGGAAAAACTTTTTTTCCATAAAAAACACTATCAAGAATCTGAAAAAACCACTCGACGCCGAATTTAAACTGTGTTGATTTTCGAACGATTTTTCTTTTTAACTAACACAGATTTATAATTTTAACGTTTTATATATTAGTAAACTCATAGTTTGTTACGTCTAGTAGACAATACATATTTAGTCATTGTCTACATATTACAAAGACATTTGTCTGTATACTCAGAGAAACATTTATATTTATTTTAATAAAATTCCTGTCAAAATTTAGCCAACAAACTGTTTTTGTTAATTAATTAAATTTTTTTTGAGTAAAATATTTATCAAATATTTTAAAAATATAAATTTAAAAATGAACTAAAAGTTGTTTTTATTCCTTCATCAACATTGAGGATTAATGAATATTTGTATCAAAAACACAAATCAAAAGTGTTATTGAGAAATTAAAAAAAAAAAACAATTGAGAAAAATTGATTTGATGTTTCAATACTTATGTACTTTATAGTTTATAACATTGAAGTATATTTATTAAAATTAAATAAGATTTGATTTTCAAAACAAAATTATTGTATTATATTGAATTTATAATTTGTTGAATTAAATAACTTTAATAATTAATATAAATATATGTTGAATATAAATTTGCATAATAAATTATTATATCTATTACGTTTAGGTAAGCTTTAAAGAGTAAATATGTTATGTCAGACGATTTATTGGTAACATCGTCGTGTAATGGTCACATAAACAGAGGTTGAATTAATGCTTTTGGTCTGTTCATTTTTTTTTGCACGTGACTGGAATTTTTTCAACTTATTCTAATACTGAAAGTACTATGATGTACTGAAACATCATGCAAAAAAGAGACTTTAATGTTTCATCCGATATTTGCATGGAAATGGAATATGAGGGTTCGGGATAATTTATTATAAGTAAAAGGTTTAGCGTTAGAAAACGTTAGGCTAGTAGTTCAGTAAGAGTATTATAAATAAATATTTTTATTAGAATTACATGAAGCGATTTGTATAGTTTACACTTGATTGAAAAATGTTTTATTTGTTTGCAGGCTCTTATCGTCCGATAAAGAATTTGTCCATTAGACAAATGCTCCCAGACATTAAATACTATATGACATATGAAGGGTCAACCACTCATCCCGGTTGTTGGGAGACAACTGTATGGATAGTATTGAACAAGCCCATATACATAACTCGAAGTGAGGTAAGAGACATTTATGAGTGTACGGAGTAATGGAATGGTGACAGGTTATAATTAATTAAACTTTATTATAAAAGTGTTTTTCCAAAAACAATGAAAATACTTAAGCTATACGTAGCATTTATAGAATATAAATAAAGTACATTCAGGGTTTAATGAATATTTCAATTTTTTACGGTTCACAGATAGCATTTATATCAGCGTGCTTCCTAATAAACGTTATTCCAAGTAAATTTTTACTATACATTGAACTAACTTTTTCAGATGCATCAACTGAGAAGATTATCTCAGGGTTCATTTGAACACCCAAAAGCTCCACTGGGCAACAATTCAAGACCCACTCAAGATCTTCGTGAAAGGACCGTCAGAACAAATATTAATTTTGCACAAAGATCTGAAGCCGATCCACAGGTAAGATAGATTAAATTTGTTTAGATCATAATGGAAACATATGAATATAGAAATGATTTTTGACTTGGAGTGATTAAAAATAATATAAATTGTATAGCGTTATAGTATAAAATAAAAATTTTAAATCTATTTTAAGTGAGTTTTTCGATTCTATTAGTTATTAATATTTTTATAAATAAAATAAAAACTAAGAGTTGACTTATAGAGGATATTATACATTCTTCACTATCCTTTTTGCTTTAGAATTCAACAGTAAAAATAAAGTTTTGGCTATTAAATTTTATTGTTTAGGCTGTTCTAATACTATATGGTGTTTTAAATGACAAAAAGATCGATGTTACTGAAGTAGAATATATTTTAAAAATACGAAACTTTGAATCAATGGTTAAAGTTTCTGTTGAAATTATCATCATTATTATCTATTAATCTTTGTTGGTCGTTTTAATGTATTCAATAATAATTAATGTACTTAAGATTTAATCTGTGTAATATGTTATGTTATCACAGTTTATTGCGTCAACATAAACACACTGTTGTAAACTAAATAGCATAATTGATCGTAACGAGACGGCTGAAACAAACGTCGCTGTAGGCCTTTAGTTTAAGTTTAGGGTACTTAGTATACCATATCTTGTGTTTGATATCCTGTTAATTTTGATTGAGCTCGACCATGTTTGTATTTACATATAATTGGAATCAGATATAACTAAAATAATAACAAAAAATATTAAAATAACTACAAAACAAATTTATAATATTTAAAAAAAATTTAATTGTTTTTTTTTAAATTTATTATTTTAAGAATAAAAATAATGAGATTATTTTTTTCAAAAAAAATATGCTCAAAAATGTCAATCATTACTGACGTATGCTCCACTACACGTCACAAAAGTACCCAAAAGTATTTAGTATTTAACTATAAAGGAAACTCTTTATTGAAATCCTATCCAGCCTACGGTTAATGCCGAACCTAACCATAGAGGCAATCTAGAGGGAACTTTACATCAATTATTATGAAAATTACATATATTTTAATATCGAGGAATAAATTAATTTAGAATTCCTAAATATACACAGTGATCGGTTTATAATAAACCACTCGATTACTCGTAAAATAAATATAATATTAGAAAGAAATATATTGACTTCTTTTAGTTACAAATATTTCTTGGTTTATTAGCTATTAATTACTTTTTAGGGTCATCCCTTATAACTTAAAGGAGTGTCTAATTTATTTTTTTAAACTATAACATATAAATTTAATTAACTTATAAAATAAAATATTATCTAATGAAGAAAATGATAACAACTTTTGAACCATTATTTCAGAAGATATTAACAATTTAAAGTAACGACTGGTGGTGGGGAGTGAGTGCTGTTACTTTTATAACTAGTAGTCATTTTCCGGCTATACTCTTCGTCCCGCCTAGGTAGAAAAATGAGAATAACTTCGGAAATACTCGTTTAAAAGTTGTTCTCGATCAGCCATATATTTAATTAGATTATTTTCTATTTCGTAAGTTAGTTATACATGTTTGTTGCCATTTGAAAAATTAAAGTTGACACCCCATTAAGTTATAAGAAATGATTATAAAAAGTCATTATTAGCTAGTAAATCAAGAAATATATGTAACTTAAAGAAATAAAAAAGTTTTTCTCCTATATTGTATTTATTTTGCGAGTAATCGAGTGGTTTATGATGTACCGATCACTCTGTAAATACATTTTTTTTTTGTAAAAAGAGATAAAAAAAATGTATGAGCGAAAAATGTCGCAAAACAAATTTCTAGGTCCCTAAATACTTGCAAAATTTAGGAAAGATATATCTTTTATTTTTTGCTCGTCATTTATATTTTTAGTAAGATGTAAGAAAAAATGGTCTTCATCGTTACTACAATAATAGAAAAAATTTATCAACCTTCTTTAAAATGATGTATAACAAATAGGGATATGTTTATAAAAATATCCTTGTTTGATATAGATAATCAATTAGTTAGTAGTATGACTGAATATGTGGTAATAATATGGTATTCATAGCGATCCTTGATTTTATAATCTTTAAATAATTTTAAATGTTTTGGAAATAATGATTTAAAATACATAGTTTACGTTAAAAATTAAAAATAACTTTAGTTTTGTTATTTCAGGGTAAGACTTGTAAGGTGAATATGCATAAGAATATGTATTATAAAGGTAAGTTTTAGAAATCGTTCATTCTTCATTGATTTTTAACTCTTTACTTTAAATAAATGGATATATTTTATCTATAATACCTGATGCGCTTAAAGTACTATGAGTAGTGTAATACAATTATAGTTTTATAACTGCTGTGAGTTTCCCTTTACCTTCATTTTCTATTGAAAACCTTTTACAGTTTTACACGTACAATTCAACACAATTAGTGATTTTGGATTCCACAAAATCTCTTTTAACCGCAATAATGTATAATACTTATAAGTTATTTTTGAATTAATTAATTTGCCTCGCATAGTATTCTCTAAAGGTTTCCAGTTGAATATGCCGCAGTTTGTGCTACGATGATACAAACTTAAATCGTATGTAATTTACAAGGGTATTTGTATGTAGGTTAGTAGTTTATCCAAAGTTCCTATCGTTTTATGAACGGTAGTAGGTATTTCGATACATTGTCGAAGTTAAAACCGAGCCTTGTTTAAGCCATACTTAGTATAAAAACCCTTCTCAACATTCCGTCGTCACTGAGTGAAGTCTTTATATGTATAGAGCATCAGTTTACAGACGTAGATGCGTACTAAAGGCTACCTGAAATGGCTATTCCGATACGAGAACGCAAAAGTTTACAAAGTTTTGACTCGACTATAAACCGCACGCGACCATGATTTATTTTGCAAGTTGCATTCATTGTAATACGCCATATAAAATTCACAGAGTGACCACTATATTCGCATGTTTTCTTAAATGCATTATGAACTACTCACTGCTAAAACTTCATTCTAACGTAGACTATCAGATACATCAATAAAATTCATAGTGTTTTAATTATTAAATATAAAACGCTTTACTTTCATGGACTTAAATCATTAAACTTTTAGTTTAGACATTTAGTGTCTGTGTAGTGTGCATATATGCACACTACATAGAGTGTCCCACCATGTTTTGGCAATATACCATGAGAAAAGTATGTGAATTAGTGAGAATATCTTGGGACACTCTGTATACAACCTATAAGTTAATAAATATCATAATAAAGATATGGGTAATAATACTAATGATTTCAGATTTTGATATTACAGATAAATTAATTTTTTTTCTTTAGAAAAATGTCTAAGTATATAAAAATATTTTTCTAGTTTAAAATTGATTTTATCGAGCATGTTTAAAAATCTGGTCGAGCCGCAATAATAATATTTATAAATAAGCGACTACCGAGTGCCGCATTCATTTTTTTTTTTGCTTTACAATTCGTGTTAGTAAAACTTACTTTTTCCACCAACTAATCAAAAATTCAAAGGTCGAAAAATTCCCTGAATACAAATTGCCCAGTGGAGCTTTGTCCCTTCGCGACCGTTAACTTTTTTATTTATTTTTTTTTAGTATTCTTTTTCTTCTAGTCTGTGTCGCGTATATGTCTTTGTGTAGTTGTTTAATCTACTCCGAGTTGTCAACGCTTCTCACGTCTCGAAATAAAAAACTAAAATTGACTCTATTCAATTTATTCTTGATGCTCATACTTTGAACTAGTGCGGTATTTGCTCTCGGCTCCTGTAATCATATAGTACAAGTATTATTACAATCTAGTACATCAATATCCTCCTAACAATTATTTTTGGCTTCTCAAAAAGTTATGATTATCATATGATATGATTTTGTTACTATTTTTTTTTTTACAGCAAACGATTGGACTTCCGACTCACTGTTTCACAGTTAAAGAAATGAAAACAAAGAGCAATAAGGAAAAATAAAATAGGTATAATTGTTTTTAAATGTTACTTGTTAAAAAGCAAGTCAATATTATTAGTACCGCGCACGAATTATATCGCCATTGCGCCATTTAATTTTTTTATAAGATTGTTATTATATTTTTACTTTGTATTTAAATTGAAATCTAAAATTATAACATTCATCTGAAAATGAATTCACCTACACGCACATATCTTTCAGACAATATAGAATGTGTTACCGCACTAATATCCGGTGTATGTTACAATGAAATCAATAATATTAATAGTTTTGAATATAAAAATATTGATCATTGCGTTAGAAAAAATGTAAATAAAAAAACAGCAATATTAAATATTTGTTACTATAGAATATAATTGAATATGTTTTTATTATTTAATTATGTAATAGAAAATCTCACCTGAAATCAACATTTATGCTTGAACAATAAATATCAATATGGATTATGAATATGTTTATGTAATTGTTCGTTAGAAATGATGAGAAAAAATATTTTTTTTTTCAAATAAATGAAATATTAAATTAATAAAACAAAAAAAAAAATTAAACTTGTAATAATTATGGCCGCAAAAGCTTCTCAGTACTCGGCCTGTTGTTCGCGCTTTTCGCACAATGATCATCAAGCCACTGTACTGCTGTAGTACAATGGCCCAGTCCATGACTTATGTTTATATTAATATAAAATAATAAAAAATTGCTTATATCATGTAATTGCACAGTAACTAAATGTTAAAAATGTATTTTATATCAACTTTACTGAACAAAAAATATGATTGAGTTATTAAATAACATTGACAGTAATTTTGTTGAAATTTTTTAGTGTACAATAATATTAATTTAATTTTAAAAGTGTACACATTTTTTTTTGCACGAATTAAGTTTCATTTTACAAAACTCTATCATTAAGATTAAGGTAGGCGTGAGTAATAAGGTCTAACTTCTATTAGGAATTGTATAAGATCTGGCTAAGCCTTATACAAAGCCTTATTACCCGCACCTACCATATAAAACTTATAACTTATAATAACTTTATTATAATTTTTTATTTTATTTGTATGCAACTTCAATTGACTACAATATGTTTATTGATGTTATATAATAAGGCATTTCCTTATTGTATGACATATGAAACCGTAAAACTACATATTTATTAAAAATAAATTTATTCATTAAAAGATTTTACCTCTTTTTTAATTGAATGTTCAAGATGAATATAGTTTAATGCTATATTTACATGATATGTAAAATATATACTATATTATTATGTGTCATTTATTTGTTGAGATGTGTTGTGCAATACAGGAAGGTAATAAACTTTATTGTTACGAATTACAAAGGAGATCTGTTGTTTTAGTTTTTATTACCATGCTTATCTAAGAAATTCAGTAGTTTGTTGATATTGTCTTGTTTGACTAAATTTAAATATAACAAAATTATTACAATATAATATAGATTTATTTTTTAAATTTATTAGTTTGACAATATGAGGCACTTACATTTTAATTTAATATATACTAAAACAAGATGGTTAAAAAATAATTTAAAATATATAAAGGAGTTGAGGTTTTATTGTCCCCATTTTTGTTTAATTCAAGTACATTACTCAGAAACTGTGCACTGTAAATTACAGTATTAAATAGATGTGATAATTAAGTGACATATTTTTGCTTTGTGTATAATTTTTATTTATAAAATAAATTAATAATTAAGTACAAATTAGATTAAAGAATTTACCAATATTAAAATTACGTTGAAAAATATAAGATTGTGATTTCTCAACATTTTTTATTTATTAAAATTTTTTAAAAAATCTTGTGGATTATTATTGATTTTAAGATTTCAATTAGGCTTCAAATTGCAATTCAAAACTGAAGTTTATATTAACTGACGTAGAATGACCTTTTGGTTTATTATTTGAGCAAAAATTTGTGAAATTGTTAACCGTCTGACAATATTTGTATGACAATTTTGATGTCTTACCCCTTTCAGGTGCCGAATCAGGGTTCAAAATTCACTCAAAAAGATTATTTTTCAGCTTTTGATCATTATTCCTAAAATTAACACATTTAGCGTAAAAATATAAATTATAGATTTTAATATTTTCTTCAAAAAGGGTATTCACAAACATTTTCTAAAATAATTTTTACTTGTTCAAAAAAATTTGATAAAATTCGCTTTTTGAACATAAATTATTCTTAAGTTTCGAAATAATTACTTTAAAACAAAATTTTTCGTATAAAAAATTTTTAAAATTTAATTTTCTAAAACATTAGTTTTATGTAAAATTTTAGTCAGATTTATAGTTTTGCTGTTATCACGAAATTTATATATATATATATATATATATATATATATATTTACATTAAGTCTCGTATGTTAATCCTATGAAATCACTTTAATTTAATTTTGATTTAAATAATTTTACTACTTTTTTCATAAATATATAATTTGTCAGTTATTATGTCAAGAAACGGTTAACCGTTTGTTGCAACGGAGTACCCAACCAAGTATAAATTTATACTCTGTGACTTTTAACTTTTATCTCTAATTGTAATCTATTTATGCCTGATATGGTAAGTGTAATGTAATATGGATACTTTATCGTTTAGAATTATATGTTGTGATAAGTTTTTTTGAACTTAACATAGAATTACTAAATGTTGAAGGAAGATCAAAAAAGTGATGGAGGGATGCTATTGAATGCGATATGAGGACAGCTGATGTGGATGATCGTGTCAAGTGGAAGTTTAGGATAAGGGTAGCCGACCCCAAATAGTTGGGATTAAGGCGAGGAAGAAAAAGAAGAAGATCATAGAATTTGTTAAAATGCATTGGGATTCTAAAATTTTACTCACAATATTTGGAAAGCAAATATGTGAATTAGAAGAGTGGGCATTATTAAATAAAGTTCAAGGCTTTGTATTTGACACAACAACGTCTAACTCTGGTCGATTAAATTGCGCTTGTTTATTATTGAAGCAAAGATTAGAAAGAAGTATACTGATCTTAGCATGCAGGCATCATATTTTTAAAATAGTACTTCATGCCGTTTTTGTTGAAGCAAAATTTATTCCGTCGTCTGATTCAGATTTACCACTTTTTAAGAGATTTGTTAATGATCGAGAAAAAATAAATAAAACTCAATATTTCATTTGGTCTAATAATACAATATTAAATATATTAAAAAATTATAGAGAAAAAATTCTATAATTCTCTGAAAAAAATTACAAAACTATTTTCTTGCAATGACCATAGAGAATATTTGGAACTTATATTAATATAGCACGAATATAAAATTTTATTAGTCTGGAGTACATTACTTAACACGTTTGATGAAAAAAGGTATTTATTCATTAAAAATTTTACTTTTGAAAAAAAGTTTATATGACTCTAACGGAAGAAAAGGCTCTATAAAGAATCTATTGTTTCATTATTAAATGTTAGTCTCAAGTCTGGTACCTAATTTAATTGAAGCTCCAGTAAATTACATAATTTTTTAAAAACATTAACTGATTATAAAATAGATAATAAGCAGATAGCTAAAATCGCTATAAAAAAATTTATAAACCACTTATAGTATTTTAGTGATGAATGGGTTTTTTTTCAATTATCGATTCTCGCTTAACCATAGAACAAAAAAAAAAAAATTACAAATTTCAAGTAGAACTGCATCATTTGAAAAAATAGATTATAAAAATAAATTAAATTTAAAAATCGATTATTTGTCACACTTTTTATCGAAGGACTTACCACTCGACTTAATTACAGATATGTTTTCACAACTTTTTAGACAATCTAATATAAAATTAGAACCACAATTTTAGGAAGAAAATGAAGACTTCTAAAAAGGTAAAAATAATTGCAGCAATAGTAGAAGTTAACAATACGGCCAAGCCTCATATAAAAATATTGAATAACTACAATAGCATATTAACAAATGTCTATAATTTATATTTTATATATTTTTACGCTAAGTGTGTTAGTTTTAGAAATAATGATTAAAAACTGAAAAATGATCCTTTTGAGTGAATTTTCAATCTTGATCGGTACCAGATAGGGGTAAGTAATCAAAACCAAATTTTACCCAAATGACTTTCATATAATAACGAAAAAAATTGGCAGGTACGGAGATCGATCAATGAAAGTTTATAAAGTAAGAGTCATCTTAATATATATATATATATATATGTTTGTTACTGCCTATGGTTGGATTTTATAGGTCCCTTCAAATATCTTGTTCTTTTGACACAAATGTCGTAAATTGTCTTTTATATTAGACACTTAGGTTCATTGTAACTGTTCAAACAAATTGGAAATCTGCATGATACACAACAAGCGTGTCACCATATTGAAGTATGTTTGCTTGATTATTCATTATAAGGTTGTAACAGAAAGCATTCATTAAACCGCATTGTCGACATTTCACAGGAATGCTCCGTTTAACTTTCGCACTTAATTAATTCTTTACCTTTCTAGAAGCAAATGTTCAAACGAAGGGAAAATCTGATGACAAAACTCATTTATGCATAGCGAAAAAACAGTTTTAAAAACACTTGTCAGCGGTTATCAGACAAAAAATTGCATTCTCGGAGAGATAAAAATTCTAGGAATGTGTAATAGTTTATAAAACTTTTTTTATTGATATTTTGCCAGAATCTAAAGCTTCGTCAAAAACTAGGCATTATGTTTTCATTACTTTCTTTTAAAATGGTATTTTGTACTACTCTTTTAGTTACATTACTTTAGTTCTATAAATACTTATATTATTTTTTAGAAAAAAAAACATTACAAAAATGTAATTAGACTTTCATTTATAAATTGTTAGTTTCACTTTTTGAAGTAAGAAATACTAAAATAATATTTTTTGTTTTACTGTGTGCAAGGAATTACTCCTTACTAAAAGAATTACTCTTAAAGGAGCCTGTGTTAAATTAATAATTATAATTCTAAGCTATTATTGCTTCGAAAATCTCAGGAAAAACTATTTATTTATTTTTTATACGAAAATCACATCCTTTGTTTTATATTTTATTCTTTTAGGTTTTGCATTAAAAATCTCTATTAGATAATTCAACTTAGATCCCCGTTCAAAATTTGCTTATTTTTTATCTTAACCCACTGACGTTTAGGCAATAATATTTTAACCTATTATTTACTTCAGAGCATTGCATAGTTTTCATAAAAACCATGTATATTCATTCATAATATTATTGTATAGCACGTTCCATGCGTAAATCCAGAAATTCATCTTGATTTCTGTAGGTTAAATTAATAGCTTGGTTTCATTTTATTTATATTTTTTAGATTGTAAATAGAGACTAATATTCCAGTTATGATTTGAATTTACATATTTTTAAACTTAAAGTTTCATGTGTAATAAGATATAATAAAAATATATCCATTTATATAGAGAAACATTAATAAAATTCACTCTTGTCTTAATAATCTAAACACAATGTATTTTATTTTACGAAAATGAATCTTGTGTATTAGAAGAATTCCACATAAATGTATTAATTAATATTTAATTTTATTTTTAATTATAAAAAAATTTATTTTGTGATATTAAGTCAACAATAATCCAAAATAATGTTTAAGGTAAAATCTAAAGAGTAAAAACTAAAAAAGCCTTAATCAGCATTACTGTTTGAATAATAACAGTCAAGTAAGTTAATATACTACAATCGAATCTTTTTTCTGCGTTTTCTTTTACTTTAGCAGTGGTGGTCATAAAATTAACTTTCACCTGGCGCACATGTCTATTGCGGGTGTTCAAATACGGTGCGGCTGTAGTTAAGATAATAGAAATTTCAATGGAACTTCACTAGCACCAACGGTCTTAATTTCTTTTGCTTTTTTTATATTCTTTTCGAGCGAGACGACGTAATTACGCGTGAGCCTCATTTCAATTCGGGACGCATTTACGCCGACTTAAAACTTTTTTTATATTCGCAATAGTCAAATAAATAAACTTTTGTAAAGTTCCTGTGACCTAAAGTATGTACCGTGGATTGTCGAGTGCATAAACGGCTGTAACACAACCAAAGGCAAGACATCATGATAAATTTCCAACAGTCAAATGTATACAATTAAACGAATGAACTAATGAAGAGATTTTATTATTGAACAATATTTTTGAGGAGTTAATGAAAAATTGTATTATTATACCTTAAAATG